CTTGAAATCTTGGTTCAAAAGAAAGAGATAGCAGCCAAACACATTAAAATGGCTGAGAAAGCCACTAGGGGGACATTCTGAGCTTTCGATTGGTTATTCATGTCATATATAGAGGTAGGTGTATATATAAGGGAGCATTTCCAAAATTCGAAAGAGGTGGTTGGAGTGCAACTGTGTTTGATTTATTACTTGAGCAATATCTTAGCAAATAGAAAAGATAAGAGGTTCTTATTTTACATTCTAACTTGTCAATATTGGTAATTTGAGTTCCTAATTCATACGAAACTACAGACTTAGTATTTTCACATCACAAACATCTAATTTGAACCAGTGCTGCATTCAACATACTGGGTGACACACAAAAATCAATGTTTAACTGTTTTGTTTAGTATTTACTTTTAAATGAACATATTATACCATATATAATATTAAAATTTCAATTATAATCTACAGTTTGATACCAAACTTATTGACATAAATTTATGAAATAGTAGTTCAATAAAATTTTGAATTTGAGTCAACAAATGTGATGACATGACCTTTGACCTATCTGGAGAGGGTTACTTCAACTAACCTAACCTTAACAAACTTAAACAGTTTCATATTTGTACATTTTAGTTAATTTTATAATAATAAATAAAGAATACACATGAAAAACAAGAAAAAGTACTTACCTAGGTTTTTTTTTTTGCTGTCAACAGCACTTAACCATACTTTTTTAAACTAATGGTAGTATTACACTAAGTAATTTTTTATTCAATTAAATAATGCACCAAAGAACACAGAGATAATAATGTGCAAAATGCAGACAATGTCCCATAATTATCATAATTTTCTGGCTTTCTAACTATGAGACAAGAGCTGTTCACACTTCAGCTAAGCTTATTGATGTGTTTCCTATGGGAATCAAGCTTCAACTGAAAGCAAAATTGACAATTTTCTTCATAGAAAACAACATAATATAATATGTCATTTGATAGAAGAAAACCTTGGTTGGCTTTCTATTGGTTATAAATAATATAGTATTGAACAGCAGAAAGAATTATTGGGAATTTCTGAAAGGAAGAATGTTACAGGTGTATATGGGAAGAGGGGTCTGTTTGTCTATTTCATGGCTCTGTTACCAAGTAAGATTGAAAGCTATGAAAATTATGCTTTGCCTGAGCAATGAAGACATTATAATAAATTATTTATAATACATTTCATACTTTTGGAGGGATTGTAAATAAATTAGAGAAGAGGGGATGCTTAGAGAACAAATAACACAATTTTTCACACTAGGGGAAGTTGTAGCTTTTTTTTACTATTTATAAAAGTAAGAACTTAAAACCTTTATACTATTAAAATATAGATTTTATGCTATATTTATTGGTATACCATGAAAAGAAAATAGTTTAATTAAATTTTGAATGTAACTCACTAAAACCTTGTGACCTGAGCAGAAAAAGATGTCCATGGAGAGAGGGTTAAACTAATCTTTTTTTTTGAAATTGATGGATTTTCTTTATTATATATAAACAAGTATTTATTGCTATTATTTAAAACAATGATAACTTAAGATTATGATTGAAATGTTAAAAAGTAAAATAATCTGATTACTGTTTTATAAACTACACAGCAAGTTTTTGTTTTATGGTTATCTTTACAAACAGTAAAAAGTCACAATATCCTTGAGTTTCATTTAGTTCTTTTTTTCTTATGCTCACTATGCCTAATATGTGTTTACAAGTTTGACATTACATACACATTTGGATTCGTTATGGTACTTTTTTGCAGGCAGTAATAAGTACTTTCTAGTCATTAAAGTTTAATCTTATACCATGATTCTCTAAACATGGATACTTTGGTCTTCCAATAGTTTAAACATTAAAAAAAGAATAGGTTCAATTCCCTCCAAACTGACTACATTACCATTCTCTGACAATAAAAGTCTAAAGTGGTTTTATATATATATATTAAATATTTGATGACCTACACTGCCAATTGATGTGAAAAACAAAAGTGGGGAAGTAAGGAGTAAGCCTTCACTCTAAAGTTGAAGTATTAAGTTTTATATTTTACTTTGTGTGCTATTTACATACCTTCACCGATTGTGGTACTTCAATTAAGTCTTTCTCATTTTTCTTTGGTAAGATTACTCTCCTCATACCAGCCTGATGAGCTGCCAGAACCTTTTCTTTAATCCCTCCGACCTATACAAGATAAGTCAAGAACAGCTTTGTTATGAAAACTAACTTTTTTTTTTTACTGTTTCTGTGTTTAAGCCTTATCTTCGTGTTGTTTTGTTTCATTAAAGTGAATAAGTATACTATAAACATTTTTTAAAAATAAAATAGAAAAAACTTTTTCAATATACAAATGAACACAATTGTTTTTAGGACTAAAAATGTTTTAACTGTTATGCATAATTTTCAAAATGGGAAAAATTAGGTTAGTTCAAAACTCTGTTTAAACTGCATCAAAACTTCATATTAGTGAAAGTATCTATTAGTATACATATTCACAAAGATTTTTTAAATAATGGTTCAAGTAGTTAATTTTTGTTACCAAATTATTTGAAGTTAACTGAAAGGTCATATTGATAAGCCCTTAGCAGGACATAAACTTGAAGTAATCAATGTATAAAAGTGATCTACAGACTACTACTATCTGATAGTCATGTACTCAAAATACACGCAGCATTCACAGAGCTTTGAGCTTAACTAATGGTGCATGTATTAAACAGTGTCAAAACTAGTGATGTCAGGCAACACCAGACCTTGAACTTATGCTTATGTGAGGAACTTCTTAAAGACGGTGATCCTGTTTATTATCATCCAGCAAAACACACCTTGAAACCAGTATTGGAGAACTAGTAAAGAACTTTCATCATATACTTTAAATAGAGTTAGATTTCTACAGAAACACTGAGTGGACTATATAAAGCTACCTGATACACAGATAAAACAGCAAAATTCAAACCTTCCAAAACTACTATTTTAAGACACATAACAGTACAGAAAGGAGTATGAAAATGGCATTTTCCTACAAAAAGTTGGTGGACAGTGTCCACCCTCAAGTCTTAACACTGACTTTTCAGTTCAACCAATAAATAGCACTCAAACAAGCATACACTGTGAGAGATCTTACTGAGTACTATCATTATACTTATCTTATTAAAATATGTTATAAAATTCACATCAGAATTAATCTATAACATCATGCTTGTCCATATAAAACTACAGTTAAAAACATTAATCTGGGTTTTGAGGAGTATCTTCAAAAACTTCATTAAGACTATGTATCAATTTTCCCATTAATGTCATATTACATCTTGGAGCATTAATCAAAAAAAATTATAAAAACAAGTATTAAGTTTGTATAAAAATTCACAAATAAATATATCAACTTAAGACAAAAAAACATTGAGTTCTGATTAACTCTTTCCAAACAGAATCAGTCGATGTGACCAATCTGGTAATCACAGAGTAATCATCAGTTTCCATACTATAACTTTTAATATGTTATGGTTATCTTCCCAAAATTTGGCAAGCTTTCAGGAAATATTATAACACATAAAACCAATTTTCCATTACATATTCCTAATAAAAATTTGTTTATGAACATACTGTGTCAGAGTGTTGACCACTCTGAGTAAAAAGTGATTTTCATGTTAAGATTAAAATCACTTTTCTTCATCAGAATATTTTCAAATTTTATTTGCATAACCTCTAAAACCTTTCAAATAATATCTAAATTTTTTTTCAGTAAAATTTTAAGTCTTATTTGATATTTTCTCTACTCTAACTCTCTCAATTGGACCAACCTTATTACCACTATAAAGAAATGTGAAATAAATATAATTACCCTTTTATCTTTCTATAATGACTTCAAGTTGTAACTGGATACTACAATTATATATCCTAAATAGCTTAATGATCTTAATAGTCTACACTTGTTTATACTTAACCTTTTCACAATGAGCATCCTTTACTGTGCATGTCATGAGGTTTTTAATGACTTACATAAAATTTTAATTAAACTACTTTTTGTTTATGTTATACCAATTAGTATAGCATAAAATCATAGCTAATAATCCATATTTTAATAGTATATAAGTTTTAAGTTCTTGATTTTATAAGGCAATATTAAAAACAAATCCTGAGTTTTCTCCAGTGTGAGAAATGCGACATTTTTTCTCAAGGCACCCCCTCCTCTGTACTTTATTCACCACCCCTACAATAAGTTTGAAATTTAATGTAAATTACTCTCTACCAAATTGTCATTGTTAGACAAAACATAAATTTTATAGCCTTCAATCTTGTTTGGTTACAGAGCCATCAAATAGAAAATCACACCCACCTGTCATATCCTCTCTTTCAGGATTTGTTAATAGTTCTATCTTACATTTAATATTACATTATTTATAACCAATAGAAAGTTAACGTTTTCATCTATCAAATGATATATCATATTAAATTGTCTTATGAACAGAGAATTGTCAATTTCTCTTTTAGTATAAGCTTCATTCCCACGAGAAAGGTATTGTCTAGCGAGTATGAATTTGTAACTGCTCTTGTTGCATAGTTAGAAAGTCAGAAAAATTGTGATAGTTATGGGACACTGAGTGTTTTTTGTATGTTATTATTATATGTTTTTCAGTGCATCATTTGATTAAATAGAAATTATTCAGTGCAATACTACCATTAGTATAAAAAAGTAGGGTTAAGTGTCATTGACAGTTGACACCAAAAAGAAAAAAAGAAAACCCGAGTAAGTACTTTATTTCTTGTTTTTCATGTGTATTTTCTTTATTTATTATTATAAAACTAACTAAAATGTCAATATAAGAATCTCTTTAGGTTAGTAAAAGTTAGATTAGGTAAAATAAGTAATAATGATAATATAATAAAAATGTTTCATAAGGCATGCATGTGTGCAGCTCGGAGTAGCTTGTGGTTAATGTAGTTCAATAGTGTAATGTGAGCTTTATGTTCCCCAAGTGATTTACAACGTATAATGGTGGGAATAGTGGGAATGGTTCAAAGCACAATAAAACAATATACTTTAAGTATAAATAGATGTATACTGTTATGAGTTTAATGCTACTTAGGATAAACTATTGCATTTTCATATTACAATTTGAAATCACTCTAGTAAGAAAAAAAAGGGTAATTTAGATTTATTCAATTTTTTTTGTGGTGGTTACGAGGTTGGTGAAATTGACGAACCTTGTATAGAGAAAATAACAGATAAAATATAAAGTTTTACTGAAAAGAAACATTTGAAATGTATTTAGGAGGTTTTAGAGATTATACAAATGAACTTTTGATATGAATAAAAGTATTTTAATCTTAACATGAAAATCACATTGCACTCAGACTAGTAAAAAAAGACTTGATATATTCACAGACAAATTTGTTTTTTTTTAGTTTATTAAAAATACTTCACTAAAAAATATGATTTGTTGTATGTGAAAGACTTATAATGTTCACTGAAAGTCTATCAAATTTTGTGAAGGTATACATACTATATTAAAAGTTAGTAGTATCAAAACTATAATGATTTTAAAGGAGTACAAAGTGGTCATGTGGTTGGTAAATTCAACAGAGCCCTTGTAGAGAGGGTTAATTTTATTGCCTATTGAACTATGTCTAACTAATAATAGCACCATGAAGTTGTAAATCACTCAGTAAATGTGTAGCTCATGTTACTGTATTAAAAGATGTAAAACATGAGCTCCTGGTGAGAATACCTCTTGAAGAATTTTTATTATTATTTTTCATTATCTTATCAAATCTAAACTTATCTAATCTAAAAAGTTCTTAATTTTCACATTTTAGTTACTTTTATAACAATAAATAAATATACATAAAAAACAAGAAATATAATACTTACCTTTGACCTCTTGTTTTTGTGCTGTCAGTTGACAATGAAATTGAAGCCTACTCTTTTATAACGATGGTATTAGTACACTAATAATTCCTTATTTACTTAAATAATGCACTTAAGAACACGGGATAAAAACACACACAAAAAGCAGACAATATTCTATAGCTATTATAATTTAACTGGCTTCCTAACTAGGACAAAAGTGGTTTAAATTAATTCCCTTTGCTGCCAGATCTGAACACCATGAAAGAAGCTTGCAAAATGAAGACAAAACTGACAATACTCTGTACGGAAAAAAACAACATTATGTCATTTGGTAAAAATTTGTCTTTCTATTGGTTATAAGTGATACAGCATAAAACATCAGAGAGAGTTATTGACAATTTATGAAAGATAAGATACATACGAGAAGTAGGTGTAGCAAGCAAGTCTCATATTCTAGTTTATGGCTCCATAAACAAATAACATTGAAGGCTATAAAAATTAAACTCTGTCTTAGTAATATCTGTATTATAATGAGTAACTTATGTCAAATTCTGTACTTCAGAAAGGGGTAGTAAAAAATTAGGGAAGGAGGGAGTCCTGGAGAATAAATGGCATTATTCTCATACTAGGGAACTTGAGGATTTTTAAGATATTTCTTTATAAAATTAAGAACTTAAAACTTGTATAATATTAAAAGTTGATTTATTAACTATATTTTTATGACAAGCTTATTCTGTACATTGATAATAAAGTGATTTAATTAAATTTTAAATGTAACTGTAAAAAGCTAAGATATGTGCATTCTGACCTACCTGTAATGAGAGGATTAATAAGAAATAAAAACCATGTTAACACATTAAATTAAACTGACAGTACAACCACTTGGAATTTTATTTAAAATGTTTTACTTTACCCATGAGTTATGGAAAAAACTAAAAACTGATAGCTTGATAAAGGCAATAGTTTAAAACATTTTAGATGAAGAACTGTTCCACTTTGTGATTATATTGAACATTAGAATATGAAATATACTTTTTTGGTAAAATTATAACATACTGGTAAAACTAATCCTCGTAGAGTAATCTCTCCAGTCATGGCCACATCAGACTCTACAAGGCGTCCAGTAAACAAAGACACAAGTACAGTAACTATGGTGACACCTGCTGATGGTCCATCTTTCTCTACTGCTCCTGCAGGAAAGTGGATGTGGACATCTGTACCTTCCATTAAGTCTATCCCTCTCTCAACTGGAATTCCATACTAAAACAAAAAGCAATTACTGAAAAAATTAAATTTTTTTACATTTCTTTAAATTTTAAGCAATTTTATACAAAGCAAGTTAGTTAGCAAACACAAAAATACAAGCAAATCAAATTATTGCATAATGTATAAACAAGAACTTAATACTAAGCAAAGAAGCAATGCAAGCTGAGTGCTTAAACTAGTTGCAAATCTTGAGTCTGAAACACCTTTAAACTGAAAGACGATACAGCAAATATATTGCAAATTACACTAACAACTGCTTACAAGAACATAATAAAATTATTACAAAGACTTCATTTCTTACTGAAGACTATATTTATGGCATGATTACTGGTTTTCATCTGAAATGGTTACAAACAAATCAAAAATGGTAGTATTTTACCTCTTCAGCATGACAACGAACCCAATTTAGAGCAAGTTTTGCAGATTCTTTCATGACATCTCCCAACTGACCAGTGAGTATCAGCTGACCATCTCCATCCATTTTCGTTGCTTCCACAAACATGATCTCTCCTCCAGCCAAAGTCCAAGCCAAACCAACAGCAACACCAGGTTGTCCAAGCCTAGCAGTAACTTCACTGTCATACTGAGCAGGCTAGAAGAAAATAACACACAAATATACTCATTTACCAAAATATTAAAACACATTAAGCTTATAAGCAGTCTCAAAATTAAAGTTCATAACTTTAATACATATACTTATAATAAAATGTAAATGCATTCATATGAAAGAAAAGATGGCAGAATTCATTCATCATCACAGACATGGAATTCCCTTTTGACATGCTTTTCTATTGTGGTCCTTATCAGGGCTCACGCTTAACTTTTTAGAGAACCAGCTGGGCCCCAAAACATGCAAATTTAGGGGCCTGCAAGCAATTTTAGGGGCAAATCCTACAGTTCATTGTAAAATTTATTCTATAGTGAAAGTTATCAGAAAAATCACTGAATTAAATAGGCTATTAGCAGATGTTACGTAAATTGAAAGAAATGTAAGGATATCAACATATCTCAATATATTTTGTTATGAACTCGTATTACATGAAAAAAGAACAACACAAGTCAAACCATTTCATTTTTTTTAACCATTGAAATTATTTTTATCTATATACACATAAGAGTCTAATGTCCATCTGTCTGCAAAACTCCTCCCACAGTTTAATTCCAACTTCAATGAAACTTTGCATGGTTTTACAACATCATAAGGGAACTACTAAAGAAGTTTCAATACAATAGGGTCTTTTATAAAAGGTTTATTTAGTACATGTGTCTACTTTTTTATAGAAATAAGTCAATAACGGATTTATGTTGCACCAAAATGAAAAATGTTACAAGATAAACCCTCGTTAAAACTATAAAAATAATAGGACCTTATTTTATAACATTTTTCCCCAATTTACTTCCTTAATGAAGAATGGTACTTCTTTCCTTTTTAATAATGTATATTAATTTTTTACATTTATTATTATCAACAAAACAAATTTTTTAATGAAACTTCTAAAATTGTGGTAAAGCGAGTTTAATGCACAATTTCAAAGTGAGTCTTTCCCAGTGGAGAATCATTGTGATATTTCATAAGAAAAGTGACTTTTTCAGCTGGAAAATACAAGTATATGCTACAAATGGAATTGTTCTGTGACCAAAGGAATCACAATTCCTTTGTAAGAAGTTCATTTCATATACATTTGCAAGAATTTTATAGTAACTCAATCTTTGTCAATTACACAAGTATTTTTTTTACTTCATTATGAGTTTAATGTGCTCAAACACATTGAGAATCATGATGACAAAAATTGTCAAATGTAAAAATGACTTATCCTGAAAAAAGTCTGAATTTTTGAGAAATAAAGTGAAATGTCAGGATGTAAGTTATAGAAAGAAAGAACAAGAAAGAGATGCAAGATCCAGTGAGAATAATCCAGGAACAAACCCAAAATACAGAATCACATCAAATTGGTTGCCAAGATGCAGTTAGAAGAAGTCAGGAGCAATTTCATGACGGAGAAACATACTGTTCAGCTCACCAAACGAACAGCCATCCATAGGTGAAGCTGTAGTAAATATTTTAGACTGATAGCTCATGTGACTTTTTTGTATAGGTGTGCACAAAAGTTTTTATCAAAATTGAGCAGTTTTTGTTGAATAACTTTGCACATGTGGTTTATACTTAGCCCAAATTTGCCACCTAATAGTAAGTTGTAAAGATTTATCAGTGTACTAAATTTCAAAAAAATACATAAAAGTTAAGTATATTTTCTGTACCTTCAGGGCAAAGAAAAAAATAGGAAGAAAGTCAATCAAAATTGGAAATTTTATATCTGGTGTTTTCTTAATGGATTGGCTTTAAATTTGTTATATGAAGTAAAGGTCCAGAAGAACATATTAACTGAAAATATGTGATAGTTGGCATTACCACAGTCCAAAAGTGGAACACCGCTAAACTATCACTCCTGTTAATAACACACAGCGAGTCCTACAAGTTGTTTTGGCCACACAACACAATACTGTGCATCTTGATATGCACAGTTCCAAGAAGTTATCTTAAAGTTAGTTGTAACTCAACAAACATGACTGCTGATAGTTTGGATTGCTTCAAATAAGAAAAATAAATATTTTGTTTTTTATATTAGGAAGAAAATGGTTGAAAACAAGAAGCTGGAAAATTGTTGTGACCGATTACCTGTTGCACTTGCAACTAACTGTGGAGTGTAGACGTCTATATCTACAGTAAAACCTAATATTTCGTGATTTTATGCATATGTCAAAGTGATGGTGTTAAGTGCTAAGATTTGAAACATAATCGATGAAAGCATGTGTGTCGAGCCAGGAGATGATAAATTATAAAATAATTCCACCATCTGAATGTGAATCTTCTTTATCATAATGAATTTAAAGTTTTCATTTATTTTTCTTTAAGGTTGGAAAGTTGATCATTATGTACACAATAAATATACAATTAGGAGCATTTTTTTAATAAGGCCAATCTAAAAAAAAATCTTTGGCAATCAGTTTGAAGATTTCTCTCTTTACAAATGAAAACTTTTAAAAGCTGTAAATGACCTTTAATTTGACCTTTGGTTGTAATACTTCGTTTGTTTTAGAAAGTGGCTCAGTTCAAAATGTGTAGAGTGATAGCAAAAGTCTTCGAACTTATGTCTGAAGTGAATGATTAATTTAAGCAATGAACCTCAACAATTTGTTTGTCTCTCACAATGATCACATAATGTTATGTATCGATCACATATTAGCTACAAGGTAAGTCCCCATTTATGCTTCACTCATTCAAAAAAAGAAAAAAAAAAGACAGAAAATAGATTGACTTGATTTTTGTTCTCTTTTCCATGGCACATATATTCATAACTTCAACCATTTCACATTTAATGAAGCTTCAAAGTACATTCTCTGTAGTTGTTACAATTTTTAAGGTTGAACTGTCAACAATACTACACAGCGACATCATCAACTTTACTGTACATAATTGGAATTGGGCTGATTGTGAGCTATAGTTATTGGTAATTTCTGAACGCGACATGCTCTGTAAAACAGTAATGGTTTTTTTTTTGGTTAGTGTAGTCTGCAAAATTGGATTCAAAAGTATTTGCCCTAAAATTTAAAACAATGTGCATGTAATAAGGTATTCTCCAAACAACTTAAAAGTTTGCAGTTTGCACTTGCCTGTTTTGGAAAGTGTTGACAAAAAAAAGAACTTTTATGTAGATCTTTCCAATGTGTGAGCTTTATGCAGGCTTGGTGTCATATATAAAAAGTTAAAAAAGTAGTATTCTGATTGAAAACAGTAGTCACCTTTATAAAAGTTCAAATAATCACTATATATTTCATATATCAATTCCATTACTTTGATACAAAAAGTTTGAATACTGGACAAAGTGATGGTATTCTGATTAATGAAAGTGCATTTACTTTGAACATACAGGCACTCATAATGATGACATTTGTGGATTGTACATGACTGATGAGTGTTTGTAAACTTGGAAAACTTGTCCATTCATGGTTCGTTTTAAGTTCTGCTTGATTAAGAAATGCTTAGATCAACTTATGTGGAGTCAAACTGTTGATGGCTCTTTAATATTAAGGGGCTACCTAGCAGACACTTTTTATGGGCCCACTGGCATTTTGGGGGCCATTGGCTCTCAGGTCCTAACTAGTTCGAGCTCTGCTTATAATAAATATACATATACAATTGGGCTGATATTCAACAACTATAAAATATCAATTAAAAATTTAATCAAACATTTTTCTTTTGTGGAATAATAATAATTATAAAGATAAGACAAAATGACACATTACAGTATCAAGCAAAATGTAACCTCACAGTGAAAATATACATATATTAGGTATATAGGTGATTAATAACACATACAATGGAACTTGCTACTAATATGAATACATTACATAGTACTAGTGTGATATCTTGAGCTTTCATAAATAACAAACAGAGGATGGTCGTGACACCATTAAGAGAGTTGACTAACAGTTATTCAAAATTTTTGCTAATTCCTCTGGTTATATGAATTATAATTTCTAGTAGTGATGAAATTTATATCTGGTTGATACAGCTTATGGTGACTAGCAATGCTAATGCATCACAAAGACAGCATGAACTTACAGAACAGTGATTAAATGTACCACACATGGTAAAAGGCATTGGCCACTGATATATACAACAATGCTGAGTACTGAATATAGATATATTAAGTGGTATGAGAAGTTACAGATAATGGCTCTTAGTAGGGTTAAACATGTTGCCCAGGGATATAGATACCAAAGAGTAAATTTAAAAAACTAAGAATTCATAATGTATAATACGCTAATATACCCGCAACAGACAATTTCTTTTGATGAACTGTTTCCTTCTTTCAGAAATGTTTTGCCTTTTTTTATATCAAATAAGTACTTATACATAGTATCTAAAAGTAAGACTATGCTGGTTTTTGTATGACAATTCTTAGGATAGTTCAAAATAATTCTTGATGATTTACTGATTTAGTATCTGAACTTGTTAAATGGAATATGATTTGTCAAATAAATAAAATATAAATGGAAAAAACTTTCAATTGTAGACATCATATTTCAAAACTTCCCTACTGTATTGTGATGAATTATTAGGTAAAAAAAATACTTTTGCTTTAGGACTCAGAATATTCAATAAATTCATGAGCACATTTTGAGTTTATGAGCATAAATTATAGATACAATAACTGATATCTACCAAAGCATATTCAGATATTGTTAGTCACTAACCCCTCTCTCTTGTAGGAAAATGGTTAACTTCAGAAAGAAATGTTCTTTTGTAATTATTCATATTGATGTGTCACCTCAAACTACATAATACAACAAGTGAGAATATTGAAATACATTAATGTACAATATTTCAAACACATCCAGCATACTTAAGTAATTATTTATCTTGACATATAATACCAATACTATATAACACCAAAAGTAAGAATACTGAAACACATTAATTACTTGTAACACTCCAAATGCATCCAGCATACATATGTAATTATCTTGATATGTAATACCTGTACTACATAACACCAGATCTGAGTATACTGACATACTTTAACATGCAATAATTCCAATTACATCCAGCATTTTTATGTAATTACTTCTCCTGACATATTAATTTGTACTACATAACACCAAAAGTGAAAGAACTATAATACACCAACGTGAAATACTCCAGTTGCATCCACTGTACTTTTGTAATTACTTATCCTAAGATGTTACCTCATACTACATAACACCAGAAGTAAGATTGAAGTACATAAGTAAGATGTAACATTCCAATCATATCCAGTAAGATTCTCAATAACATTTTCTTCAAAATTTTACACCAGTAAATAATTTAAAATGGCACTTGTGCAATATAGATAGGCTGGTCCCTGTTATTAATAGATTATTTACTGTGCAATTACTTTAGCATCGTACTCCTTTTAATTTTATGTGTGTGTATATATATAAAATAAGCATTAAGAAGATTTCAGTAAGGAATCATTGCCAATCCTAAAGTCATAACGGATAATGCCTGTGGTAATAGCTCCCAAATGTGTTAGGGATATCCCAACTACCAGACTTGGACATTAATTTAGTAGAAAGCAAAGCAGACTATTTTTGATAAGAGAAGGGAATTTAATTTTCTAATTATCGGTCTACCCACTCCAATAGTGAAATTTCACGTATGATGTTAAAATGCATCATTATATCTCTGCTAAAAAGATTTTTAATAGTTTCTAATAATGATAATGCTTTTATGGATAATGTTATACGAGTCATAAATAAACTAGAAAATAATGGCTACAAATACTTGCAATTAAGATAGTTTTTTACACTGTTTCTGTTTTATAACAAATATGAAAATATTTTAAAAATAAACTTTTGATACAGAAAATACGTTTTTTTGTCACTAGAGGTTGTTAGCTACTATTAAGTAGCTAAGTTTAAAATTATAATTCTATTCAGTATACTGAAACAGAAAGACTAATTCTAGTAGCTGGGCTTGTCTCAGCTTTCCTGTGTTATACTTGAATAAATTTTTAAAAGAAAAAGAGGAGGTTGGGAATATGAACTACATAAGAAATATATATGAAGCTGTATTTAAGATCATTTTATTTCAGATCTTTTTTATTTTACTGTATTTCTTTTGTAAGGGTGGAGGTTGGGAGTTGTATATTGTAGAAATGTTAGGGTGATTTCATTTCTACTTTAGGAATTATAAGAACTTTTCAGGGTAACTGCCTTCCCACAACTAGCTGCAGACAGTGAAAGGCAGAAGTTCAGATGTTGTGTGTGTAAGTACTTAACTCCATACCCTTAATGGATTTTCTATGCTGCTTGCTGGATAGTTTTACAACAGCATTTGGATTTTGTCTGGTAGATGGAACATCCCCAATGCATATGGGAGCTATTACCACAGGCATTATCTGTTATAACTTTAAGGTGACAATTAGGATTGACAATGGATTCTTTTTAATACTTATTTTAATTGCCTATTAACAATTAATGTAAACAATAGTATTGAAGCTATTTATTTCATTATATACATATATATCTTACACCAAGAATATCTTCAACAGCTGTTTCATCCACCACAACAGGAAGATCTGGAGGTAGATCAATCATGGATGCCAGATCAGGGTTAGATATGCTCTCTGGTTTAACTCCTGGCTTTTCATATTCTGGTACAGAAAGTGCTTCTTTTCCACACTCTACAACTTTCACAGCCACTGCTCGACAAACAGCACCTAGTTTTCTTTCTAAACTTCGCACACCAGCTTCTCTAGTATATTTCAGAACTAGAAAAGCAACAAAATATTTTTATATGAAGTTTTTAATATATATGTGCATCAGTATAATTAAAAAATGCTATTATATAAACACCACATATCTAATCTACAAAACTTAGTATGTTAGAAACTGTAATTATGAAAGCCTTTTATAATACTTAAAGCTCTCATTACCTTAATCCAGCATGTACTGAAAAACAAAATGATTTGTATATCAAAGATCAATAACAATCCACAGTTTGGTTAAAAAGAAAAAAAGAGATATGTGATATAAAGAAATTCACGAAAGCAAAGGAATACAAAGTTTATTTATGACTATAAAAATTCACCCATGTATTTGAAAACAAATTTTGTGGTACCTAATAAGAACTAGGTGAAGTGACAAGAAATGGAAAATGTTTTCTGAAAATTGTACATATTTTAGATAGTAGGAAAACCTTAAAAACATACAAGAAATATAAACACTTTTTTTTAAAACTCGTTCATGCACTTACAGCTAAATAAACTTTGTAAAAGTAAATGTAAAACAACACTTACTTATGGTTTTGATGGCTTCATCTTGAATAATCAACATTTTATCAGACAATCCATGTTCTTTCAATTGCTTAGGAAGAAGATGGTTCCTGGCAATATGTTGCTTTTCATCATATGTATAGCCTGGTACTGGTATAACCTGCAAATCAAACACATTTATATTGGTTTAAATTTGTGAGTTTTGAGGAATGAACTTTAAACTTCACATTGGAAATGACAGAAAATTCACAAAAAAATTGTTTTTTTTACCTACTGGAATAGTGAGGCTTCTATTTTGTAAGGGCTTTTATTATTTTTTGTAATGAAAAAAGCTGCTTTCAATATTTCAAAATAAAACATTTTGTAAAGAAAATCTTTTCCTAAGAAATTTATCAACAGAACAAAACTTATATTACAATGGAAATTACAGAAAATAAACATATCACAACTAACTGTAAGTTACATCATAAATTCAAAAATAATTAGACACATTTGATTACCAAAAATTGCACACTGAAAAAAAAAAAAATTAAACATTTATTACTCTTACCTCCATTCGATCGAGCAGAGCAGGAGGTATTGTGGTCACAGTGTTTGCTGTAGCAATAAACAACACTTGAGACAAATCAAAGGGTACATTCAAATAGCTGGAGGTAAGTGTAAAGATAAAAACAAACAACAGCAACATTAATTTTTTCCTGTCTAATTAATTAGAAATAAAAGGGAAAAAAATCACTTATTCAGGAAAAAAAATTCCTTAACTCATATGAATATGAACATACTTTTATAAAAGTATGCCAAAAACAGAAGAAGCTACAAAAGCAGCCTTAAGTCACATGAACTCTGAGTTTATCTCTTTGTTCATTACACAAATGACTTTACTCTTGACCTTACTGAATATAATTTTGTGTTAAAGTTTGTTGTCAAACGTTTACAATACTGAATTAAGAATATATACTACTCCAAAACTGACGTTTTACCAGTTTTATTCTAATAGCACATAAACCTTGTTTGTTGTAAAGCATAACCAAGTTTAAAGACTAAAATAAAAATAATGGGGAAGAAAACCTTAGTCTATAATTATTGAATATATTTATCTCCCATCTTATGAGCCTACAACAATATAAGTTCTTCTATAGTTTTCCTTAAATTCAAGCATTTGTTAAACCACCTCTTCACTCATGCTATGGTTTTCTTACATCATAATGCCCTTAGAGTTAAAAAAAAGTTAAAAAGTCTTATGCCATCATTCACATCATACTAATTTTACTACTGAAATAGAATCCTTTAAATTCTCTCTGCTTCCTTTAGTTTATTCTTTTAATAGGGGTTTATACAAGTTTTAAACAAGTATAGTCTACCAAATGAAATAATTTCAATTCTGATTATGAGATTTGTGATCAAACATCAGATTTTATCACCACCAACCAAACATTAAAAACAACAGAAATAAGGAATAGATTTATCTTTGACTTTGAAACCCTTTAGTGCTTTCTCTTGTTTGTTTGGTGTTAAACACAAAGCTACACAGATGCTATCTGTGCTGTTCCTGCAACAGCTTTTGAAACCCAGTTTTTATCATTATAAGTCTTCAGACTTACCATTTTGCCACTGAGGGCCCCCATGTTACTTTACTCAACTATCCTACTGCTTTTGACCTACATGGGATGTGAAGTGACCTTACGAGATAGCATTTGAAATAAAATGTTAGTAATAGAACAAATTTTTATAAAAGTTTGACAAAAACAGAAGAAGCCAAAAAAGCAGAATAATGTAAATAAAATAAATAATGTAAAAACTGCAATGTGAGAAATGTAAAGTGTACCCTAGGAGTACCAACAATTCTCCTAATGGTACTAAGTTACATCTTGTTATGAAAATTTATTCACATAAAATGCCTTAAATTCAGAGTTATTTACTTTAATTTACAGATACTTTGATTGCTTAATTTGTTTGAATAATTTGAATAATAACAACTATAATATCATCCTATATCCAGAAATAAAAAACACTTCACCATTTGTTACTTACACACATTGTTTAAATTAATATATCAAAAATGGTGCCACTGCTCAAGGTTGTAATGACAGCACAACAGTAAAATGTGGGCTATTGTGACTTGAGTGTCACAAAGGCTATATATTGGTGAGTCATTACCAGATAAAAGAAAATGATCAATGCATAGCCTAGCCAGGACAACTTCCTCCTTACGATTCTTACAAAAACAAGAAGGCCAAAGAGTAACAGAAGGTTTGATCTGGAAAAGCTTGCTATGATGTTGCTCACCCCAAGTCGATTGCCAACTGGCGCAAAGCCGCTCCTTGAATACAGGACTGTAGTCCATATATGGAACAGGCAAGGCAGTGTCTGGTACCAGAGCAGAGGGACATAGCTACAGTGTCAGCGATGTCCTTCCCGCGAATACTGACATGGCCAGGTTAAGCAATTCCAAAGTCAGTAGAGAGCTAAGAGAGTCAGTGTAAATAGTACAATCACTATACTGCACAGTTTCTACATGATCCAGGGTAACAAAAATGGCATACAATTTGGCAGAGAACACAGAAACTGTAGAGGAGATCCTGTGAGCATCCACCAAGCCACAACAAACCATTACAGAGCCCACAGAGTCACCTGATTTTGAACCATCTGTATAAACGAGATTAGAAAAATGGTTCGAAAGATGTTCAGCAAAGAGAAGACAGTACTTCAAATTGGGAGTATTCACCTTTCTCAGATGACTCAAGGAAAGGTCACATTCTGGGATGGTAATAAGCCATGGTGGAATGATCATTGGGGTGAGGAACGTTATCCAATGCCAGACCCAATTCAGCCAGTTGCGCCTGGATACAAAGGTAGGAATTGCACACCATTTGTTCTGAAAGAGCAAAGCCCACCTAGGAAGAAAGATGCAATCTCAGGTGGGATGCTGTGATAAGGATCAAAGCTTGGTAGCATACTGTAGAGAAAGTTGCAAATGGCAGAGATGAAGAGGAGATCTTGGGACTCAGTGTACAAACTCTGAACTGGAGAAGCTCGGAAAGCACCTGTGCAGAGCCGAAGGCCCCAGTTGGTGAATGAGGTCCAGCATCTTCAAGGCTGAGATCCTGGCAGAACCATAGACCAGAGACCCATAGTCCAGTTTTGTTCAAATTAAGGCACGATAGATCTTGAGCATAGAACATCGATCAGCTCCCCAAGAGGTGGAAGAGAGGACATGGAGGATGTTCAGTGCCCTTGTACATTTGACACATAGCTGCTTTATGTGAGGAATGAAAGTAAGCTTACGGTCAAAGATAAGACCCAAGAACATTGCCTCAGGGACCATGGGAAGAACAACATCACCGAGATGGATCTTGGGATCGGAGTGTAGACCCTGTTGGTGGCAAAAATGCATGCAAACGATTTTGGAAAAAGAAAAGGTAAAACCGTTTGCTGTGGTCCACTTTAACAAGTGATTGATGGCACTCTGAAGCTGCCACTCAATAAATCTCATATTCGACGACCTACATGAGATGTGGAAGTTGTAGACATAAAGTCCATTAGCAACAGTAGGAAGAAGTTGTGTAGTGATAGTATTGATCTTGATACTGAAAAGTGTGGCACTCAAGACACAGCCCTGAGGTACTTCAAGTTACTGTATCAAATAACTGGAAAGTGTTGAATCAACATGGACTCGAAATCCCCTGTCAAGTAAAAAGTTCTGAATAAAAATGTGTAGATGGTCATGCCACCCATGAGTGGAGGTCCCGCAAAATGCCATACCTCCATGTTGTATCATGAGCCTTCTCCACATAGAAGAAACCCGAAACAAGATGTTCCCTCTAGAGAAAGGCTTCCCTGATCAAGATTTCAAGTCAAATCAGGTGGTACATGGTGGGGAGCTGTTGACAGAACCCACACTGGGTAGGCAACAAGAGGTTGTTTGAATCAAGGAACCAAACAAGACAAGCATTAACACCCTCTCTAAGACCTTACAGAGACAGATGGTCAAAGCAATTGGACGATAATTAGAAGGAATCTTTGGATCCTTCCCAAGTGAAGGAGTGCAGATAGCTAGATTAATGGCAGTAAAAGACTGACTAGATGCATGAAAATAAGTATAAGAACCAGTATTGAAGAGAGAAAGGTTGTGACCCAAGAGCATACACTCAACGGAATGACCCCTCACATCAATATCAGTACCACTACAGAGGGGATTGTGTCCATTAAAGTCTCTCAGGATTAAAAAGGGAGATGGCAACTATTTATTGAGAGCATCAAGGTCTAATCGATCATAAGTCTCTCCAGGAAACAGGTAGAGAGAACAAACAGTGATGGTACAACCCAAGGAAACACAGATGGCTGTGGCCTCAAAGGGTGTATCGAGTGACACTGACAAGGTAGGCAAGTGTTGGTCGACTACCAGTGTCACCCCTCCATTCACTCATCCATCACACAACCTATCATTCCGGTATAAAGAAAACTACTGAAAGGTGACTGTATCAGCAGGTTTCAGGAATGTTTCCTGTACGGAAAGATACATGGGATGATAGGAATCAATCAAGACCTTAATGTCATCCAGATTAGAATAAAAACATAAACAATTCCACTGTATCAAAGTGACCATTTTTACTTAGGTCGAGGAGAACCCTTCTATTTATGATCACACTGTTTTTCTTTACTAGAAAGAGGTCTGTTGACTTTCATGGATCCTCCCTTAGTTGAGTGGGCAGATCTCTGTCATTAGACTCAGATTCCAGTGGCTAAGGGTGTGGTTGAATAATCGTTCTGCATCTAGGAATCAAAGAAGGTGGACATGAGCAGACAATGGAAGCCTGGGCCAAAGGAAGTGGACCCAAGCAGTTACTGGAAGGAATGGTGGGGACATAAATAGAAGTAGACATTCACTTGTCAACACAATTATCCATTGAGGGCAAAAGACTCTTCACATATTGTGAAAAAGATTCTGATGGAGGCATGGAAAGATCCATCTGTACTCCCACTGTAGCAGCGGAGCGTAGTGCAGCAGCATATGTCCAAGATGGAGTAGGGGACAATAACTTTTGATCTTTTGGGTAAGAAACATTGTTCACAGTTTTTAAACACTGTACCTCTTTCTCCTCCACCCACTTAGGTCAAAATCTATAGTAAGAGGGGTGGGAACCACTACAATTAACACAGTGAGGGTCCAGTTCGCACTCATATACATCATGTTCTTTGCCACCACAATGAGCACACGTCACAGAACCATGACAAGATGCCTTCAAATGACTGAACCACTGACACTCGAAACATCTGAGAGGGTTGGGAATATATGGCCGTACCTTACAGTTCAGATAACCTGCCTTGACAGTGGCATGTGTAGGTGGCAATATAAACGTCAAAATAAGAACAGTGGTAGGCAGCATAATTCCTTATTTACAAGTGGAGATACGTGCACTGCAGAAACTCCTTGGCTGGAGAAACCAGCAAGGATTTCTGACCCAGCAATGTTCTTCAAATCCCTCTCAACAATAACTCCTCATAAGGAATTCAAAGTAGCATGGGGAGTAACCTCAATGGGTATATCCCCATTGGCCTTCGATTTCAAGAGGAGTTCACTGTATTTTGGTGTAGATGTTTCCACCAAAATGTCTCCAGAACGTAGCTTCTTGATTGACTTTGGAGA